TGATTTTACAACTACCCTTTCAACGTGGGGCAATATGACGATGCCAATTGAATTTTGCCCATATTTTGAGAGTAATTTTTACTCCAAATTAATTTACTACAGTCGAGGGGGTAAAATTTGCCCAGTTTTAGGGTAATTTTTACCCCTCAAAATTTACTGTGTAATAACTTCGAAACAAGTAAAGCTTTTAAAGAGAAATAATTTGCATCAAATAGAGGAAGCCCTAACTTAGATTTTGATATATTACACTTGTATTTCACTTAAAAATTCGCGTAGATATTAATGTTTAAAATCGGGAGCATATTTCTGGATGTGTCTGAAATATGCAAAAAACGGGGTATCAAATATTAATCAAGATTTGCCCGACTGAAACATGCACTATTACCAGTAAATAAATGACGCTTGACAAATTGTCTATTATGAAACAAAGTATTGTTATCTACAAAATACAAGGAAGATTTATTCGTCCGAAATCCGCGTGTGTTCCTATAGCACGAGTACGTTTCCTTATTTCATAAGACCACTGACTGCATCGCGAAGGATCGTCATATGGATCGTTCGTGTTCTGAATTAGGGGATGCTGTCACAATGGAATTGTGAAGCTCTTCTAACTTTTGCAACGTTCTGAAATCTTGTTAAGAACACTCAATCTTTTTTGCTTTTTCTTAATCTTGGCAAGTTCAGAATAAACTAAGAATGAAACACAATCAAACCATACAACTCCATAAGACATAACAAGCAACTCCCCAGAGACATCCAACATTTTTGGAACAAAACGTAACAAAATAGTAGCGTTGATACTGTGATGTGTATTTGCAAAATGCAGTATTATTTCCTTCATTAAAAAATAATATTCATCCTGCTCTAATCGAGAAATATTCAACTCTGTTTTCAACCCATGAAAAGCATAAAAAATATAGGCTATTTAAGAAAAATTTAAGCGCCTGCCTTGAATGGTCTTTCATGTACCTTTAAGTTTGTATTAAAGACCTATTAAATACTTTACGTTTATACTTCGTAATATAATACGAACGTTTATATTTCAGGAAACAATGAGCTTAGATGTAAGATGTCTAAATCTACGCCATATCCTTATACAATCCCTGATGACAATTCGCTGAAATACATAGCCTGATATGTCATTAAACAAACAAACGCTGGAGTTAATATTTGATATGCCGATTTTTGCTAATTTTAGACACATCCCAAAATATGCTCCCGATTTTGAACATTAATATCTCCGTGAATTTTTAAGTAAAATACAACTGTAATATATCAAAATCTAAGTTAGTCCGTTCTCTATTTAATGCAAGTTATTTCTGTTTGATAGCTTTACTTGTTTAGAAGTTATTATAAATCAAACCGGAGTACTTTTTTTTGGGACACCCGGTAGTGAAATATAATAAATATGGAAATACGATTTCAAAAAGTTACAAATTTTTTTTCTAAAAAAATATCAAAAATTTTCCATTAATTCACACAATGTTTTGATGTTCTCTTTGAAGAAAGAAATCTGGCGTGTTATACATCGCATCCTAAATCCATCACCACAACCTCTGAGAGTTGACGTTGACGATTTAAACAAATTCTTCGCAACTACAGCCCAGCGCACGACGGCAAATACAGAAACCGACGTCAAAGAAGACCTGCTCAATTTTGTTGATACACTACAATCAAACGTTAGTGATGATGCAGCATTTCATTTACGACCAGTTACGTTCAACGAGGTTCTGCGTGAAACCAAAGGCATCAGACCAGATACATCTACAGAGCCAGACCAACTATCTGCAAAATATCTCAAGATTGTTGCGCAGCTCGTCGCTGGTCCACTAACCCACATCATCAACTCCTTTGTAGCTGTATCGTCATTTCCTGATGCTTGGAAAGTCGCTAGGATCACTCCAATACCTAAGAGTAATAACTCTAATTCGAACAGTAATATGCGTCCCATATCAATACTGCCAGTTCTTTCGAAGGCATTTGAAAGGCTTACACACTATCAATTGGTTGAGCACATTGACTTCGAAAAGCTGTTGAAACAGAACATGTCCGGCTTTAGGAAAGGCCATTCAACTACCACAGTTTTGCTAGATATTACAGACATATTAGAGACGGCGTACTTCGTGCAATGAAGCGTGGGGAAGTTACACTCATGGTCCTAGCTGACTTTTCGAAAGCCTTCGACACCATTAAATACAAAACTGTGTTAACGAAACTCAATCAGTTAGGTTTCTCAAATGAATATCTTAAATGGACGGTGAACTACCTAACTGGGAGACGGCATTTCGTCCAAATTGACGACAAAACATCCGGCTTGTGTCCAGTCAACTTCGGCGTTCCTCAGGGGTCTATATTAGGGCCATTAATCTTTAATCTATATGTTGCTGACCTTCAATCATATATCAAAGACAAATGTCATCAATACGCTGACGACACAACCCTTTACGCTCATTGCAAATCCGAGAATCTCCAAGATGCTGTAGCTGATATGCAGTCAAGTGTTCGCAAGCTGGAAGAATGGTCGAGTGAAGCCAACCTGGTCATCAATCCATCAAAGACCACAGTCATGATGCTGTCCACCGCACAACTGGCTTCCTCCCACTCTGAATGATGCCTCCATCAATATTGAAATCAATGGCACACACGTAGAGCGAGTTAAATCCACAAAATTACTAGGATCTTACATTCACGAACACCTCAAATGGGAAGAGAATGTTAAAAACATTGTCTCATCCTGTTACTCCACCCTTGCCATGCTCAGAAAACTAAAAAATAGGTACGCATTGCGTACATGTGGGTAGCCGAAAGTTAGATAAAAAATAGATACAAACTGAGCAGGCTATGAAACTAGTAGACAGATCCAGAAGTATTATAAATATATATATATATATATTATAAATATATATATATATATATATATATATATATATATATATATATATATATATATATATATATATATATTTTGACAATGCCTACATTACAATTAATTCTTGATAGTAATGGTACTTTAATAATTTAACTGAAGAAGAATTTGATTTTAATTGTTCAAGACAGTGAGTTCATTCATTTACTATGTTCATTCATTTAACTATATTAATAATAGGACAAATGGCATTTCTAAAATTTGTCCATATTTAGCACGCTTTTTTACAAGCATGTCAAATAATCCAGTCATCCATTGTAAACATTTCAGTTGTAAAGATTTATGTCACAAAACATCCAGTTAAAGATTGCTGGTGTTTACTGTATTGCCAACTTTGAACAGAGTTCATGAAACATTTTTCTTGTTTTGATACCATAATGATTGTAGTTGCCACTATTTCAACAATATTATCTCAATTTTTGGTTCCACCAACAACAGCGTCATCAGTAAGTAAATAACTCTGGTGTACTTGTTGTATTGAATATCCATACAGTATTTCTTCATGACAAGATTGTATATTTGAAAAAGTTCTGATCATATTGCATATTATCCAATATTATCACCAGTGTCCTGATACATTATGTGATTTCACTTATTAGTATATCATCCAAGGTGCTGTACAGTATGCGTTTGTTGTTTCATTGTATTAAAGTAAAAGTTCCTCTTTTTGAATCTTTGTTTATCTATATTTTGAAAAAATAAATGTTGGGTTAAGGTCATAACTTTTCCAAAGTGAAATGCTACCTGGAATCCCATATATGTTTTACTTGGTGGAAAATAGTTACTAACAAAGGGATTGGTGAAAAATATTTACCTCTTGTTGAATGTTATGAAATGTTATGTGAAGCTATCGGTGACGTAATCAAGTTTGAAATGTTGTAATTGTAGGCATGTCTAAAAACAGAAAGAGTAAATACATTAGACAAACATAAAAACACATAGAAAAAAGAGAATGGAAGAGAAGGGAAGAAAAGAAGAAACGAACGCTTACCTGTTAGAAAAAGTCATGCATTTCTAATTTAAAATTAGGATATACATAATATATATAGTTTTGTTAGTTCTGTTTTGGATTAATGGGACACAGTTCTGCCATTGCTTTAATATTAATTCAGGTATACAAAACTTAACCTGTACTATTTTAGCAACGTTAGCAGTAAGGATGTAGTTGTTATTTCTATGTTTTGAGAGAGGCCCATATTGCTTTATGATCACTAAAGTATGTCTCTAAAACACCAGTATGAATTTTATCCTCAATCAAATTTGTATATAAATGATCAATTAATGTTGCATTATCTGTAGTAAAACTTGATATGATTTGTCTGTAGCTATTTTCTGAGACCATGAGGTTATACAGTGACTGTCTCTCAAATTCCACCATCCAATTTACATTAAAGCTAGTCTCCAATAACAATA